AATTATTTAATTGAAATCAATTCATCATTCTTTAAAAAAACAAAAATTCATATATATATATATATTTATTCAGATAAAAGGTCATGGAGAATTTAGAATAGAAGCTTAGTAGATAATATCATGCTACCTGGTTTGTCCTTTCACATTCGTAGTTATAGTATTTCTTTTTGTAATTTATATCCTTCGATTTTTGTGAAATCTGTTGTTTTTTGTTCTTTTTATGGAATGTTTTATCGTTTTGCTTTCTATAATATCTTATTATGATATCTTTACTTTCATTATTTTTTTTTCTTACCTACTTTGATAAGTTTTTTTTTTTCGCTGAATGATCTATGTAACTACGATATTACACTATATATGTTGTTATTGTTGTTACTTTGAGGTGGAACATAATATTGAATTGTTTCATATTGGAGGTTTTGAGTTCGGACTTTGAATATAATTTTATCTTTTTATGTTAGTTAATGATCTACGCTCTATGATAAATATTTCACCACAAATTTAAATGAAATTAAATTTCAAAAGGGATACCAAATACTGAATGCAAAACAAAAAATATATACAATTGAATTGATACAAAGTCAAAAATACAAACTCCTATTGTTTTTCCAATCAATATTTAGATCTAACTAAATTTAAATTTATATAAAAAGTTATCACAATAAAAATAAAATATTATCTAACATAGACAACTTCAATATCTCTTATTTTATCTAACTCAAGAGGTTCTTTCGTATAAATAATAAATTAATTATTTCATATAAATGATGGAATAAAATAGTAGGATAACTAATCCCACAAAATATTAGAATGGTTTTGTTGGTGATAAGCACCTGCCTCCATATTGGACAATAGATGTAAGAATCAATTTGATAGGCTCGTTTGGTATGAAATATAAAAAATAACTAATTTAAAAATTAATTTTAAAATGAATTTATCTCATAATTGATTTGAATAAAATTATGAAATAAATTATTTCAAACTTTATACTACCAAAAGGTAGTGGGAAACAATGGAAATTCATTATTTTTAATTACGTCGAGTTCAAGTCTTAAAAATGAGCTTATTATTAATAGCAAGTGCAAATTTTTTAAATTAACTTTTTACGACACGAATAGATTAACGAAAACATTGAACGAAATTCTTTTTACAGTTTTTTCTAAGATCATAATGATTAATTGCTCTTTACTATAAAATAAAAGGTTTTAATATGTATTAAAACAAAAAAAAATGAATCAAACTAAAAGCTTTTAATTACTGAACAAACTTGATTGACGAAAACATTTTATATGAATTAACCAGACTGATATTTCCAAATGCAGAATATTTAAACAGAAAAAGACTTCAAATTTAAATTATTTCAGATTATAAATGTTGGCACAAGATTATTTTGTTTTTATCAAATTAAAACTTTTGGTATACAACAAAATTTTACGGTAATAATAAAACTTCGAAGTGTTAGAATGTCTCATATTTTAAAATATTATTTTGCCTCCTACCATTACATTGAACAATACTCAACCATGAACTAATTTTTAGCATTAAATTTGACATTAATTATTCACTTTCTTTGTATGATAACAAAATCAGACTCAATTCATATTTTTTTATTAACTTCAACTTTAATTTATTTTCTCTGTTTAAAAAGAAATAACATTTTTTTTTCTTAATCTGTTTTAAAAAAATATTTTTTTTTTGTAATAACTGTTCATATGACATGTTTAAGACTACAAACTGATATAACTTTAATTTAGGATCAAATGATCAAAAATCTTCTTTATTTTCTTAAACTTCATATCTTATCAAATTAGACATTCTTTATCAAAAGTCTTCTTTATTTTTTTAAATTTCATATCTAATCAAATTAGACATTCTTAAATCTGGCATAATATTCACTTTCTTTATATGATAACAAAATCAGACTCATTCATTTTTTTTTATTAACTTCAACTTTAACTTATTTTCTCCATTAAAAAAAGAATAACACTTTTTCCTCTTTAATCTATTTTAAAAAAATAACTTCTTTCATTTTTTTGTAACAACTGTTCTTATGACATGTTTAAAACCACAAAATTAAAAGATAATTTTGTATGTTTGATATAACTTTAATTTAAAATCACATGATCAAATTTTTTTTTTATTTTCTTAAACTTCATATCTAATCAAATTAAACATTCTTTATGAAAGGAAAAAAATATACCTTACCTTACTCATAACAATAAGACGCTCAACATCGTCTCACGAAGAAAGAAAAATAAAATATGCTTATATGATATTCAGCTTTAAACGTGCATCCACTCGAGCACCCTACTTATATTAGTCCCTTCATTTAAAAAATAATGACCTAGTTTAACTTAAAACGGAATTTAAGAAAAGAAAGAAGATTTTTTAATCTTGTAGTTCTAAATTAAAATTATGTTAAACGTATCAAAATGCCCTTTAATTTTGTGGCCTTAAATATGTCACGTAAAAAATTAAAATTAAAGTGTTACCAAAAAAGAAAAAGATTCGTTCTTTTTTAAACAGGCTAAAAAAAATTAGAAATATTCTTTTTTAAACGAAGATAGTAGCATTTTAAATGCTTTTAACGAAATTCGTAACAAACTATCATTTAACTATTTAATTCTTATATGATTTTGGACAATATTCACCCTATCTAACTAACTTTTAGTTTCAAAACAGTCCAAATACTCAACATATATATACAGACATTTCAACCTTTTTTATGAAATTGAAAACCCTAACACCTCAATTATTACTATCTCTTTCTAAACTATGACTCGCCGGTTTAGATTTCTGCTAACTTCGAACGCCTCCTCCACTTCGCCGGCGGCGGAAGAAGCGGAGCCACCGTCAGCCACGGCAGCGGAGTCCGACTTCATTGTTATACTTGCTGCTTTACTCTGTGCAGTAATCTGTGTTTCTGGACTCATCGTAGTAGCTCGTTGTACTTGGCTCCGGAGGGACCCGCCGGAAAATCCACCGCCGGTGAAGAATAAAGGATTGAAGAAGAAAGTTCTCAAGTATTTGCCGAAATTCAAGTATGATCCGTCGAGCGGTGAGCTGCCGTTTGCGGCGGAGTGCGCGATTTGTCTGGTGGAGTATGTAGAGGGAGATGAAATTCGAGTGTTGCCGAATTGTGGCCATCGGTTTCACCTCCAGTGTGTGGACACGTGGCTTTTGACGAACTCGTCGTGCCCTTCCTGCCGGCAGATTCTCGTAGTTGCTCGTGCTCGGTGCCGGAAGTGCGGGGAAGTTCCTGCAATTTCCGGCGAAGCCTCCGACGGAGGTCAAATTTTAACGGCGGTTTAGTCTACAACTTACGGTAAACGAGGTTAATATGAAAAAGTGGCCGGCCGGAGCATCGTGGTAAGTGTAAATTGGTAACGGTGTTGTTATTTTCCGGTGATGGAAATGGGCCCCGCATGAGGTCGAGGGATAAGGCATACTTTCCTTGTGATTATGATGGGAGTGTTAGAAAGTGACAAAAATGAAATTATGGCTGTTGGAGGGGAACGAAGAATATTGAGTTTTTTTTTTTTTCTAAAAAAAAAATCATTTTCATTTTTGTTTTATGTATCTATTTTTATTTTATTTTCATTCTAGCATAAATGAAAATGACTAAAAGAAATATTTTTTAGTCTAATGTTGCGAATATTGATTCGATAAATATTTGCGATCTGCAATAATAGTTATTAGAGGATGATGTTGTATATAGGTAGTTTATTTCTATTCTAGTGGAATGACTTATAATACGCGATATAAAATTTACTAAATAATAAGCTTATTATTCCTTTATCTTCTTCGCTTAAATATAGGTAGTTTGCTCTCGCTTTTAGAGTGTCAAAAATTAAAATTTACGATTTTGAAAGGGATATGTATAGATAGAGAAGAAACCCATTTAACACAAATACTATCATTTATGTTATAAAAAATCACAAATTGGGTAAAAGGCAACTAAATATGGATACTCTATATTTGTTAATGTCAATAGTTAATTCTTTATTAAACTTGGGTTAGGTGAGTTGTAAGAAATCAACAAGCATAGTTCTCAATAACAAAATTAGTCCTTGAAAACATAATTTCCGTTATTAATCAAATACAGAATTAATTCAGTTCATTTTAACTGGTCCAATCTAAACATATGATTTATATCTAGCTCAAATAGACTCATAAAAATCTTATTAAAAAAATGTAACATTTTTTTTTATTTGATATAATATGTTATATATGGTCGTAACAAAGACGAGATAGTTTTATCCAAAGATATGACCTAATGCTCAATGAAGTAAGTTGAAAATCATTAAATCTCAAGTTCATATTTGTTGCGTTGGAGGTGGCAAATACCCAGTGGAATTAGGGCCTGTTTGGATTGGCTTTTGGCTTATGAAGCGTTAAGTTAGAATTTCTAACTTATTACTGTTTAGATTATTTTTATTATTTTGGCTTTAACATAAGTGCTTATGAGTACTTTTTAACTTTACCCAAAAACTTCATAACTGCTTAAAAACTATTTAAGCTTAAAAGCACCTAAAATAAGTCAAACCAAACAGGCACTAAGTCGAGGTGCACAAAGTGGCCATTTTACTTGAACAAATTAATTAAAATTCAGTAAGAGTTGAATGGGGTTGAGCCATTGAGTTATAATCCATTGTTTAGCTCATTTCAGTCGAAGTAACTTTTGGGTAGGTCATTAACTCGATCTATTTTGACCCGCCCAAATTCGGCTCTACCGGGTAGTTTGACAATCCTAATATTGCAAAGTAATCACTAGAACAAGTAGAAGACATTCCATGTGTAAAAAGGGATAGGAGATAAGATGGAAAAAGTGAAGAAGATATATCAGTTCCACCCTATTATCAGGGTGAATAAGACCTGCACTAAAGCTTCTTTTCATGGCTTCCTCATCACTTTTAAACCTTCATCAACTAATGGCAGTTTCACAGCTTCCAAAACAGAAAACTGTTGCAGAAAGTACGTATCTATAGCAACGTGCAAGATAGAAATGAGTGACGCATACCCTATTCATAATCATGGTTCTTGTTTTGAACTCCACACAACACCAGAGACCATTGGAAAAACTTACCTACACTCGATGTTTAACACAAAACTACACTAGTTTACCTGACTAGTCTGATAATTCGAATGTGTTCTATCTAACAATTGTTAAGTGATAACAATGCATGTAAAGTACTCATGAGTTTGTATAAAAGCAGGCATGGAAAACTTAAGTTGAGGCAAGAAGCAGCGTAGTACCTGTTTCTTGCATCAGAATATCGTGTCCCTCAAGGCCAAACCTCTCTGCGAGGACCATTCTTGAAATGTCCAAGCCATCTACATGATGTGAAAGCAATAGTGGACTTGAAAGTACCACCAGCCTCAGAAGTCAGAACCGCTGTGTTTGTTCTTGGGTGTGTCAACAAGAGAAGACACCTGATTCTCCTAACATAATCAGAAGTTCAAAATATAACGATAACTGATTCTCATAACATTATATATTACTCTAGCTAGCATTACACAAAACTGCTACTGCCAGGGAAATCTAAAGAACTTCTGTAGAAGCCTGAACAAGCTAAAATCATTTATATCATCACCAATCACCTGTTAGGACTTGTAAATACTGCTGCGTTTGCATCATAAACACAATTAGATCCGTAAATTTTAAAGCAGATATCTTTGATAAAATATCTTGTCGATATCACTTGACATGAATGCACAATGTGCTTATGAGATTCCTTTAGTCTATGATCAGCTCTACAAGAAGTGAAACTGAGGCATTCGTGATCATCGACTTTAAAGGGCTTCTCCTATCATTCCAATCCTCCTTCATCTCCACTGCTATCACCAAACATGGCAGCCATTTTCATTGCCAAATTTGCAGCCATTTCCCTCCTTTGGAAGTCTGGCATTAACCTTAAGCTGTCTCGGACATTCCCAATCTCGGACATTAACTGTTCCAAATTCTCAAAATCATATGTTGTTCCTTTATCATCCTCTGAATCACCATCATCTGCATCCGCTCTGGGCAGTTCTTTTCTGTCACTTTCTCCTTCCAATTGAGATGTAGAAGATGAGGGTTGCATTTCTCCTCTAATTAACCTGATTTCGGTTTTTCCATTAGGAACTGATCCCTCGGTTCCAGTGGTTACAACAGTAGCATCTGCAGATACCCATCCTACATCTGTGTCATCCCAGGGATCAGCCGAGCCAGCAGATAAGATTTCATATTCAAGTTCATAATCAGATTCTTCATCTGACAACTCTGAAAAGTGGAAATAAAAACGTTATGTCAACTGAATAGACCCTCAAAAAAGAAAAAGATATATTTCATCATTGACCAGATATTGTAAAACCTTGATGTTCAGGTAATGAAGGTTCAGTAATCTTATCACCAGACTTCAAGATCATTCCAGGCCACATATAAGCTGAAAGTGCCCCAAAGAGCCGTTCAGCGCCCTGAGAATCACCATCCATAGAAAGACCTGCCATAAAAAGATTCTTAATTTCATTACTGTAATCCAAAAGGTAAAAGTTAAAAAAGGGGTAAGAACTCTCCCATTTCGGCTTAAGCATCATTGAAAAGACAAACTAGAACCAGCTCATGCATACAATAAAAAGCAGACACAAAAGTTATGAACCATAATTGGCTGCAAAATGGAGCAGGCATGCCATAATGGGGCATCAGGTCCCAAAGCTCTGCAGTAACTGATATCACAACATGTGGTGTATCATGAATCATACTAATGTCGGCATTTAGGGTCAGTGAGTGAACTATTGGGCATAATTCAGCTACATTTCAGATTTACTCCCATTTGCAATTACCATAGATTGCCAATATACAGATTATTACAAAGGCATATCCAGGGACATGTGAGTAAGTATCTTTCTGCATATAGATAATACCAACCGACAACCTTGGAGTGACAAAAGACTCCATTGGGAACTACACTATGACAACCTACAGTGTATAGACAATGATTAGAGCTGCCACAAATCTCATCAATGGTGGCACAGTAAAATAACTGGGACTAAAAGAAATAAAATTCTCTACTGGGAACCTTCAGACACTCCCCTTAGACTTATATGAATCAAGAAGCGAAATAGATAACCTTAACCATCTCAGTTCTCTTCCTTTCACTCTTTTGCTTCTGTATATAAGTGATGCAGCAAAAGAATTTTATCTTCTAATTAAAAAAAAGAGGATATTGAAAAACCGGGAATAAGGAAAGTTGTGACAAAGAAGGACAGAAATATCATAACAAAAACTAAGACATACATTTGTCAAATTCAGCATTTGATGCACAGGCTTCTACATATTCTATGCTGTGTTCGAGGCACCATTCCAAGTAGGACCTTTTAGCATCAAATGATGAGTCATCATCTCCTAGTAGACTGCTTCCTTCTGTTTCAGAAATTCCAGAATCCATTTCTGAATAAGGGCTACCAGAGGAGTCTGCACTTTTCAACAGGAGCTGCCTGTATTCAACATGAGCCGAATGACCAGGAAGAAGGTCCACTTTGTTGCCAATGCATAACAAAATCTCAAACTTGAGGATGTCAGTGCGGGAGACAAAATCTTTAAGCGCAACAAAAGATGAGAGCTGCAGATGGTAGCAGAAGAGAAGTCATCAGATTTCTGAAGTACAGTCTATAGTCTCGTAGATAACAGAAGCTTTTGTAGAGTAGGAAATGAAACAAATAGGGAAAAAGGGTCTGGCTTACATCAGTAACGTCAAAGACCATCACCAATGCAACAAGCTGATCATATGCTGGCAGGGCTCCAATGGAGAAGTCCTCATGAAGATGGGCCATCCAAACAGAAACATCAGCATTATAATACTTGGTGTTGATTGCCCACCTGATCAACAACGATGATGCATAATGATAACATAGAAAGGAAGTTCTAGATATAAGAGAATTTTTTGCAACAATATAACTAATTAAAGGGGAGGGGATATACTTTGTCAACTTACGGATATGATAGGATGTTAGAAGATGATTCAAATGCATCTTCAGAATCTACTGAAAGTAGTCCTGCACGCCAAAAAGTTGAAGTTTATCAGGCTATGTAAAATAGATTAAATTCACATCCACAAATAAGGTCATTAACCCATGTTAAATTAGGTTTTAGGTTTAACTCACACCCCAAAAGCTAGCTCAAAGGGAGGAGAATTGTCCAAGCCTTATAAGGAGTTCACCCATCTCATTAACCACCGATATGGGACCCTGATTTTTGGGGGACCCAACATCGGGTGAGACAGGCCCTGCTCTGATACCATGTGAAATTAGGTTTTAGGCCTAACTCACACCCCAAAAGCTAGCTCGAAAGGGAGGAGATTGCCCAAGCCTTATAAGGAGTCCACCCATCTCATTAACCACCGATGTGGGACTTTTTGTCATTCTAGTCAAAATCTGCTCCACCGTTGAGTTGGCAGATTTGATTATAATCTGATCCACAAATAAAGCTGGCAGATTTGTGTAAATATAGGATTAGAATATATTATTCTAGGAAAATAGTTTAAAGGAAAACCCTTGATTCAAGGATTTCCCAAGAATTAGGGATTGATTAGTTTAATTGGTCTTTACTTGTTCTCCTATAAATATTGTACAAGTACTATGAATAAAATATACTTTTGCAGTATCTTAACTTTCAACCCATTATTTTTATTCTAAATATGGCACAGATACAGCAGACTTGGTCAGAGTACCCGAGCCAAATAACAGCATTGTTAACACATTAAAAAATGAACGCCGAAATTCTTCCTGACTCACAACCAAGAAAGGAATGGGACATTAAAAGAGGATTTACACGTGATCCTTTTTAATTCTCCTGGTGTTGAGATAAATCAAAAGAACTAAAGCAAGATAATTCCAGGAAAACCCAAAGGGACTTGACCAAAACAAAATAAAGTATACTATACTTACAGGACAAATTATAAAAACAAATGTAACATGTTTCTCTGATGAAGTTAGAGGCGCCTGGTATCTGTTACAGATCACGAATACATTTCAAGTAGAACATGGATAACTTATTAGAGAAGCACACTACTAGATCTAAAGGTAAGTTCCACATATGCATCAATCAAAATGAGAACTTGGGAAGAAGCTTTACAAGGAACAAATTTGGACGCACATCAAACTTGTCTTGTATGATAAAAACTTGCAAAGTCGGAAATGTTTCATTTCTTTTTTCCTTTCTGTTGGTTGACTCAGGCCAAGGTGGTTGGAAACTTACAATTGATTGTGATAATTTTTTCATTAGATGTCAGGATTTTTTTGAGAATGATAAAAAAATGAAAAAATCATGACATCTAATGAAATTATTATCTAAATATCTTAAAATATTCTTGTAAAACAGGTCTGTTCTACTGCAGCTGCTAACTTTAAAATGTTTTATTTCATCCTCTTAATTCATATATATATATATATATATATATATATATATATATATATATATATTACATGAACTCCAGTTTGCGTTTTATATATAGTATATATCTGACACTAGTATTATAAATTATTGGCAGGACTTAGTATTTTTAAGGATTTAAACTAAGAGGGTGTTTAGCTAAAGCTTATAAGTTGGTCCAAGTAGCTTATAAGCACTTTTTACCTTACCTATGTGTTTGATAAACATCAGAAGTTCTTATAAGCCTAAAGCCATAAATTGGTCACACCCTAACCAATGGTTTTCCAGCTTACAAGCACTTTTGGTTTGACCAAATCTTTTATGACTTTATCCCTAAAAATTTTTGCAATCTTCAACATACTCTTATCAAACATAACTTACAACTATCGCTCTATTTTGTTTCTTTCATTCATCCATGTTATGTAAAGATAATTTTAGACTATTTTTTTAAATAGCTTTAAGGATATCTCAGTACACAAAACTGCTTATTAACAACTATTTTACAAAACACACTAACGGCTTATGATCAGCTTCAACATATCTATACAAACACATCAGTTTCAGCAATCAAAATGAATTCAGCACTTGATGCACATCAGCTAACCCAAACAGGCTTTAAATCTTCCTTGGCAATCGGTGATTTCACCTTTTGATTAATGTCTCTCAAATATTTTCAAGAGAAAAGTAGTAGAAGTACTTGCAGTCTCAAAGAAATATAAGCATTATGCATAAGATAAGTAATTATTGAAAGACTTCAATTAATTAGTACTCAGTAATGAATAACTTCATGAATTTAGTATGTCAAGATGTATTTGCAAAAAAAAAAAGAACATATTTAGTAAATAAAACTTACAGATCTTTTCAGATTCTTTCAATATAGAAAGAGTCTTTTATCAAATACGTTGTTTCGAATTTATTGAAACACTTATTCCAACAATCCTCTAGTTGTTTCTAGAAATTTTGAAATTCTCTGGACATTAATTTAGCAACTTGCATCAATAATGGTGTCTTTTGGACTTGAACAATTAATTAATGAAGACTTTCTAAATCATTAACTACTTAGTGGATGCATTTTGAACCAAGTAATTTATTGAATGAAGTAGAAAATACACCTAAGCACACTACTATGTTTCGGTGAAAATCGACCCAAATTTCCAATTTCCAACTCGGCCCAAATTCCATTTCAATATTTCAGTTCAAACTGTTGGGAGATATTATTATCCTAGTTCCAGTATTTGTCCCATACAAAATAAGGGCTCACAAACTCACTTGTGAGGGAAAATGTGTTATGAGTCTTAGGAGGGCAAGTATGGAATCTTTACATTGTAACAAAAATCTCCTAGAAAAGTTAGCAAAAGACCCCATTTGGCATGGACGCTGCCGAAATGAACAGGTCAAAAATAAGGGCCTAAATTCAACATGCAATCTTAGGCAGTGCAAATGTGGTATGAGTCCTATTAAGGCAAAAGGGGAATCTTATTTTATCCTAAAATCTCAAAGAAAAATTTAATAGTATGACCTCTTTTCTTTTTTATGACAGTAGTGTCTGAGTCAACTAACATAGAACACGACTATTCCAAGTACCGGTAACTCTGTGCACTAAGACTTGAAACATACATCAGAGTTGTTAAAGAGCTGGGTAAGGAGAGGAGGCAGCAAGAGCCAAAGGAGATGGTGGAGGTTAATACCATCATGTATATGGTGGTCAGTTTGGAAGAAAAGGAACGGTAAATGTTTTGAAAATAGATCCAATTCCGTTCACAAGGTCAAATGGAATTGTATAGTATCCTTACTTTTTTGGTGTAAAAAGTTGTGTATAGTAGACACAGACCAGATTGTAGATTCGATAGGAAGCTTGTACCTACAATTTTTGGTGGTGACCAGCATGCCCTTAATGCTGAAGAATACAATCTTACCAGTTTCAAAAAAAACTAAAACTTGAAACCTTATATTTTCCTCCTACTTCATTTACCACTAGAGCATACCCTTGGATGCTCTACGATTTGGCCCTCTTGACTCTTCAGGGCAACTTTTAGTTGGCATTATGAACACGAATTGAGAATTAGCTCCATCTTAAGTGACTTACTTCACTAACTTTAGACAGTTCCATTTTACATCAGAAATAAGATTCATACTAGATAATTCAACAGAAGGGTGTGGAGTGAGTTATTCTCAATGAATCAATTCATAACCAAACATTCTCTACCTAGCACGGTAACCACCCACCACCAATGAATTTTCACAACTTGGTCCAGCTCATCATCTCATTTTCTGTTTGACTAGCATTCCTTTAGTAGCTTCTTTTAAAATTTAAAAGGAAAAGACCAAGGGTACAGTTGAAGTATTCGATTCGCCTTACATTTTCCCTCTGTTACCTTCAAATTGGTGCGTCCTCAGTTCCTATTTAGCACTTCCTACCCCCCCCCCCCAACCTTATGGACAGACAGAAAGGGTCAAAAGATGCATTCAGACTTACTTGATGACATGCATGACTTATAATAGGCCTACTCAGTGGAAACAGTAGCTCAGTTAGGCTCATTTAGGACGAAGGGTGGTACAATACCAACTACCTTGCAGCCTCACGACAAGAGTACTCCATTCGAAGCTCTGTCTGGTTACCCCCCTCCTCAGTTATCTGTTACTCCTGATCTTGATTCCACAGTCCAACCAGCTGAAGATTGGGTGATGAAAAAACAGATGCAACAGTTACTTAGGCTCGGGATAGAATGAAATCCTATGCTGATAATAACAAATTAGAGATAATTCCAAGTTGGAGACCTAGTTTTCATCAAACTACAACTATACAAACAGATGTCAGCGGCGTTCAGAACTCAGTAACAAATTTTGTGGTCCCTACAAGATGTTGGAAAGAATAGGGAAGATGGCCTACAAGCTGGAACTACTGGCTAATTCCAAGACGCATCCAACATTTCATGTATCCTTATTGAAGAAGGTTGTCAATCGAGTTAGAGAAGATGCCAGTTCTTAGTTTAAGCCACTAATTATATTAAGGAGGCAGCTAGCTAAGAGGTGCAATGCTGCTGCTGTTAAGATCGTGGTACAATGGTCTAACTTGCCTGCGGAGGATGCTACATGGTAAGATTTTGATTATACCAGAGCTACATTTCCAGAAATACATATGATCCAGATTAAGAGCTGATTGAGGGCTAAGATCCAAATTTGGTTAGAATATAATCAATGGATTCTAAGAAAAGACTAATGAAGTTGGTAATTTCCTTCTTTATATGTTCCTTCCTTCTACTCCTCTCTTCTATTCTCTCAATCATCAATCCTCCTTTCTTCTATTTCTGCAGATTAAGAGGTCGACGACAATGGTGATTTCTATTCTGCAGTTAGTTAATTAGTTTGTCATTTTCTCCACTCAGTTTTAATTTTGATTTGATAAATTAATAGAAAATCCAGAAAAATTATCCCAGTTTTCCATATCCTTGGACTGTTACAACAAAGTTGAACTCAGCCCAAGTTGGAACTACCCCAATTTAACATATATACAACAGGACTCATATAAAATATTCAGAATTTCCATTTCCTTAGACTGTTAAATAAAGTCGAACTAGACCCAAATTTGGATTACCCCAATTAAACACAAATTCACACAAAAGATTACAAATTTATGCATCAATCAACATCTCAATGTCAAATTAGTTAGGTCACCCACATGAATCATCAGTATACATTCCACTTATACTGAGTTGCATTTCATTCTATTCAACTAACTACTAATTGCAGCAAAGGAAACATGGGGTTGTTATTCTCTCCTCTCAATTCGCAATTCCGAGTTTCCATTATGTTACACAAGAACGTTTAACTCGATCCAAATTGGAACTACCACAATTAAACACAAATACAACAGTATTCCTATAAAATTGTCCCACTTTCCATTTCCTTAAAGAAATTTTAACAAATCTGAACTCGATCCAAATTGGATCTACCCCAATTAAACACAAATATAACAGGGTTTTACATAAAACTGTCCCAATTTCCATTTCCTTAGACTGTTAAACAAAGTTGAACTCGACCCAAATTGGGATTACCCCAATTAAACACAAATACACACCCGGAGAAAAAGAGATGTATATGAATCATCATCTGTGTCTAATCTGTCCAAATAAATAGAGCATCGAGAACTTACGAGAGATAAGGGCGCGTTTGCCGACATTGGGAGATCCAATAAAGAGAATTCCTGGCTTCTTCTCAAGTGATTTACTGTTGAATGTTGGAGGATCCTGCTCCTGTTGATGATCCATTACCTTCCTTCCTTCACTACAGTTGATGTAATGCAACGCTTTGGAGAAGAGAGGAATCTGTTGAGCTTTTTTTTTACTCTCAAAATATTTTACCAAATCAATATTTATATATAAGAAAAACTACTTATACTTCTTTCCCTACTATTACTTTATAATGTATCTATGTTATATTATATTATTTTTTATCGTTACGAAATGTCATATATTCATAATTAAAATGATAAATTTACTAGAAAAGAAAGATACGAGGTAGAGATATAATGAAAAAGTAGGATAAATGATAAATATGATTATGAAATAATAAATATAAAAAAAAATTATTAAGGAAATGATGCAATCACGCCAAATTGATCGTTATATAAATAGGTTTGTTCATCGTTACCTAGCGATGAATTTAAGGTACCACAGAAGTTAAATAACAATCAAACCAAACATTGTATTTAAACCAACAATGTAATACAACACAAAATGAGTAACAACCATCCAAACAAAGTGTTAATTATGGTCAAATTAAAATATAAATTATAATTTCAATAAATCACTTACATATATAGAAGGGAGTGTTGGAGCAACAGTAAAGTTAGTCTCTATCGTGTTCGCCGTGAAAACGCTCGAGTTGTCCTTTTTAGTATAATATATGTGGTTTTACATCTTTATGTATTTATTTTTTTTTCACCATATTGATATGTGCAAAATTATAACTTTTAGTACTTTTCGCAGTTTTTGACATTGGGACTGAGAAAATAGTTAAAGAAGGTGACATATTTTAAGTGATTAAAGGAAGTAATGAACGACACCTACAAAAACTTCTCCAAAATTTGAGCTAACAATATGTTCACATACTTAATTAAAACATGTCATAGTTCAAGTATCTACGTAAAATATACTAATAAGTTCCAATTACTTTTTCCAACTTCAAATATTGCGAAAAACCGCCTACATAGATTATAAAGAACGGGGAATAAGCAAGTATATCAATAAAATGTTCAAAACTTAAACATTAGATGGTGCTATTACAAACTGACATCAAAATCTTGAAACTATGAAAGAGATGAGTCCATTGCTACAATCTTGTTAACTGATTACTTTACTTCCTTCTGGGAAATCACCAACATTTTTCTGTAGGTCTTACATGATTTGCTTCGCGTCACGAAAAAAAATACAGTTGGATGCATTGTGTGGACCAGACCTCATATTCAGGGAAAGAAAACAGTAAGTTTATCAAATCTGTAGTTTAGGTAACTTATTCTGTGGCAGCTTTCTTAGCTCCAACGGCGAAGAACTCTGTAATGACTTCAAGGGGCATGCCCTTTGTTTCAGGAACTTTCAAGAAAACGAATACCCAAGCCACAGCACACACGACAGCATAGATGGCGAAGACACCTCCAAGTCCAATGGAGTTGAGCATGACAGGGAGCGAGTAGGTGACAATGATGTCTCCGATCCAAAAAGTAAGAGCACATATAGCAATACAGATTCCACGAACGCTGGTGGGAAATATCTCAGAGCAGAGGATATTTGGGATTGGACCAAAGCCCATAACAAAGGTGCAGAAGTATACCACAACACTAGCGGTGGAGATCACAGCATGCATGACCTCACCCATGTTAATAACATTGCCAAGGACTAGTACAATAAGTGACGATAACAAGACGGGCAATGTAGCCAGCAAAAGCCACCTGGAGAATAAACAGACAGTAAAACTTCTCTTAGACGGAAAGTCAGAAGAGTTAAAAATGCATGCTTCTAAAAGATTTAGATACTCTCATATATACAGTTCACTCAACTTCAACATGGTCAAAGTCCAAGTATTAATTGAACAAAAGTCGTGATCAATAAGTTTATCATGAAGTGTCCCGTAGTAGTTGAGAGGATTGATAGTTGATTATTATCATTATGAAGCTCCGAACAATCCTGATCTCGTGAACTAACTTACTCCCCTGATGATTTATCTTAACTAAATGGGAAGTAATTTGCTTTTCCTATTTGTAAGGGTAGAATTGTTTGAAATTCAAAGATTTAGTCATGAAAAGAACGGATCTTAGGCCTAACTCAACCTCAAACGCTAGATCCTCCAGATTGATTTAGTAACAAAAGCTGATCTGCTCAGGAGATAACTATGGTGTACGATGAGTAGACGGTTGAGCAAGGGTTGATATGTTATCATTTTCATAGTTTCATAAACTATACAATTAATAGAATCATGAATACCTTCTGCCAGCCAAGTCCATTAATCTCATTGCAACACCAATGGTGGGAAGCATTAACAAAGTTGTAACAGCACTTATGAGGAAAGACGCAGAGTCTGAACCAATGCCCATATTCGATAGGAGAACTCCAACGCCTGCTTGTTCAAGAATTTGAGGAGTGTAATAAAGAACCCCGTTGATTCCGGAAAACTGTACAAGGACCACCAAAGCAAATCAGTAGCTGGATTGAAAGTAAATAGTCTAGTTCATATGCAAGATAAGGTGACAAAAGGGAGTTAATATTAAACACAACATATGAAGGTAAGAAAACTAATGAAGTTATTTTGTCGAGTAGAATAACTAATGAACTATAACTGTTTTGTTTGACATAGTCATGCAGGAGAACCTGCTCATGATCTTAGTTTTCTATGTACTTACAACTGGCTGATGATTTATCTTAACCAAATGGGAAGTAAGTTGCTTTTCCGATTTGTAAGGTAGGATTGCTTTAACTTCAAAGATTTCTAGTCTTCAAAAGAATGACAATTTAGATGTTGTAAAGAAATGGATCGGGGAGGACTGCCCAAGTCCACATAAGTAGACCACCATCTAACAGATGTCACTAAGCCGGAACCTCATTAAATTATCAAGGCCAAACAGCAAGTTCATAGAACAACTTTTACCTGCTGAAGTATTTGGAGTCCAACTCCAACAATCAGTGCATGCTTGACTCCTGGCTCAAGAAGTGCTTTCCAGACTGACTTCTTTGTAACAGTTTCAGATTGTGTCTCGATTGCTTCTTCTATAGACTGTTGACCCAAGACGCTCTCAGCACGAAGAACAGACTGACTCACTAAAGCAGCAGCATGAATGAACTCAGCTTGATCTGCATGAGCATCTCCTGGAAGAGAAATAATGGACCCCCGTCGTGATCCACTGCCTCCTTCTTCATGTAAATAGATCCTTTTGAGTGCTCCCTCCTTTTTCTCATCTTTTCTGTATGCTAGCTGCCAACCACCACCAATACCCATGCTGGCTTGCTCACCGACACCATTTGCCTGCATGAAATTGCTGCCTTGCCTCATGCTTAACGATGTTGGAGGTCCCATATTTCCTTCTGCATTTGTACCTTGACGTGAGAGCAGCGGGCTTCTCAGATTATCATCAGATTCTGCCCCAGAACCATCAGACATATGATTTTCCTCATCCTTTTGGCTTTCTTCATCCCAATTATCAGTTTTTCCTTGATTCTCTGTGATATTGAACATGCTGCCAACATTAGAAAAGAGCATGCTTCGCATGCTTCCCATCTCCGGCATCTTCTCATGAACACTGCCAAACAGAGTAACCAACGGATCCATAAGAGGCATGCTTTGGTTTGCCATACTCCCATGACGGGAGACCAGGCCTAGAGTACTTTGTCCAGTGACAGGTTTTGCTATCCATGAAAGACCCTCTTCAGCTCCATATAACTTGATCTGATCTTTCTCATCATGGTTGTCAGCAAGTTCATTGTCCGGACCAATTATATACTCTTCTATAGATACTTCACCTCCAACACCTAAACCTTCCATCAACAATGCCATTTCACCTGTAGGTTGAAAAAATTCCATTAGACATAAGAATCCTGGTCTAGAGTGTTAATACCAAATGATAGATAATTAACTTCAAGTATGAAAAGGTGTAACCTGAACTTAAGAACAAACTTAAAAGAAAAATGTTGCAATAATTCAATGGAAATAATGTACACAATTTTTTTTTACAACCGAGAGATCCCGAGTGTTGTTGGTGTATGTGTATGAAACTTGATGAATAATAAACTTCTCCACTTAAAATACCAGTCTTTTGTCTGCCGTGAAGTTTGAAATCATGACATCCACCTAACCCTTACATCACACTTGCCTCTTACCACTAGACCAAAGCTCGGGGAGCAGTGGAAATATGTATATTTGTCAACAAATAGATGCTAATGAACAAAAAAAGATTTGACAACCAACATATAATCTGATAAGTAAGGCTTCAAAACAACTTATGCATAGTTGGTTCTAGTGAAATAGGCCATTCAAAGAAACATTGCTGTTTACACAAAAACCAAGGTGATCACAGAGTTAGCTCATTTGGCTGTTAAAACTATTCTGAGGAGCAAATATATTTTCTCATACAACAAAGAGATGAGCTAATTGTGAACAAAGAAAGGAACCACGAGACAAACCTGAGACATCTTCCCTGCCACGTAGTCTCTGTAAAACTTGTTTAGCCTCCTTCATTCGACCTTTACTGACCAGCCACCTTGGAGATTCAGGCAAGTAAAACAATGCAAGAAAGAAGTAAGCAAGAGAAGGAATTGATAGAACCCCAAGCATTAACCTCCAACTTGGTGCTTGTGTCAGTGACATTCCAAAAACCATGCAGTATGACAAAAACATTCCAAGGGAACCGGTGAACTGTGGAAATGTATTCAATTGCCCTCTTATTTCTGGTGGGGCAGTCTCGGATATATAGACAGGAACAAGTGTCACCGCAAGACCAATTCCAAATCCATCTAAGAGCCTTGCTAAAAGCAACACATAAACATTTGGAGCCCATAACATCACTAATCCACTGAGGAAATAAAGTACTGATGAAATTATAAGCATTGGACGTCTCCCAAGCATGTCCGATACAGGTCCCGAGAATGTCGTGATCACTGTCGCTCCAATTAGAGACATCGCAACAATTAGCCCTTCCATGGTTGGCTGTGTTTGTAAATTAAATTCCTTCTTGATGTAAAGAACAGATCCTGAAACATATTAGATACATTTTCTTTCAATAAGATACTGTTTAAGTTGTGCTTCAACAAGAAATTCATTTGAAAAGAACAAGTTGAAGATTTGTGAGTAAAAACTATGCCAAGCTTTTTAATATTTCCAGCAT